ATATACGAACACGGAAACAGTTTATTATTACCCCCCCCCACCCAAACCCTGCCCCAAGAGACCCCCGCGCAAAACGACCTCGGGGGGGGGGGGGTTATTAAAGGGACCCTAACATTAATATACAGGCTAACAAATCATGTTGCTAATTCTCCGGGCTTCTATATTGCCGGCTGCTACGGAATCCTACAACTGAAAGCCAACAGCCCGGACCGAAGCATCTATGGAGTTAGGGGCTGAATTTAGGGTTTCGTGGTTACGGGTTCAGGGTTTTGGGTTCAATATTTTGGCTGCGGTTTCGGGTGTAAGAACTCAGAAACCCCAAAAGACAACCCGCCAGCCCCGGCACCACAGCTGACCCACCCACCTTAAGCATCTAGACACCCTAATCATCTCTAACCCCTATAAGGAGACGGCCCGGAACTAGACGACCCAAACCTCGCAAATGCCATAAAAGACCATCAAATCCACCAGACCCTTTATCAGAACCCTGATAGAACCCGGATAACATCGCCTGCATCCTAGATCCTGAAACTCGACACCCCAGAGCCGCCCGAGGAGCCTTCGACTTCGATCGGATCCTTTCAGCGAGGTTTAGGGTTTAGGGAGGGCCAGAAAAGCATGGAAAGTGGGTTTTAGGGTTTATGGGGGCTTCGGGGTTTAGAGTCGCAGGGGCACAGGGGTTTAGCAGCAATCTGTGCAGCTGATCCTCGTAGTTGAGGCGCGGCGGCTAACTGTAGTTAGACGAAAGTCTTCGGTACACTACTATACGACAAACATAACAATGGACCCTAATCAAACAAGGAATAGTTTCACGAATCGTCCAGGCCCTTATGCTAGTTTAGGGTACAAGTAGCACATAGTCTAGAGCCGCAAGTTGCGGTCTCTGCGTCTCGAATGCTGGCCTCGTGTGCAACTTGAATCGCGAAAGAGATAGGGGTGGATGCACGCAAAAATGGACTCAATACTTCGGAACAAAGCTTTCGGTGCTCACGCTCGGACGAGCCAGGCGAGGGGTATCGTACGTGGTCGGTTGGAATAAGGCTTTGGGGTATATCATACTCTCATTGTACAAGGATTGCTTACAAGGCCGTCGAGAACTGATGCAATCTGTCTTGTCTTGTTACAGAGGATCACCGACAATGGAAAATTGCCCATTCATTGCATCCTATACCAGCACCTTGGATTGTCACGGTCATGATGTTCTTGGGCCACCGCGGTCAGAACGAACTGAGAATGACATGAACGCGCTGTATGCCTTGAACCTTATATGCCATATGACGTTTAGTCCCGAAGCGTAAGTCTGCAACCTATAGCCATGTGGAAGGCTAACAGAACCTAAACAAAAAGTAGGTTCCCTCGCGGTTAGGATCTTCGTAGAAGGATGTTTGTTCCCCATCCTAAACCCTAAACCCCCTCCTAAATCCTCAACCCTCCGCCTTCAGAACTACCCCATGGAGTCCTGTGTGGTACCTGAAAGCTGTCCGAGGAGTGAGCGGCAAAGGGCAGGTTGGCGACGTTCTCCTTTCCGAAGATCAGGGGGTCTATAGTACATTATACTATGGTTCAATACTAGAGTCTAGAGTATTTTATAATATATCAGGTTTATAATAGTATCTAGTTATCGCATATAGCTATAGTATGCCCTACAGATGTACATGCACACTCAGTAGTGGGGCTAAAGGCTACCTACTCAGCTTGTACCTGCCTTACGTGACAGGAACTTCTTCTCCTCGAAAACATGGCATTGCAACGAATCCTGTGACAGAATGTGGCAGGTACTTCTATGAGACCTACCAGTATCTTGGGCTATGCCCGATTTCTTTGAATTTGCAATCGCGCAGAGGGCAAGCGGTCAGCTACTGGCCAATAGATAGCATTAGCTGCCGTTGAACTGAATCATGCTCTAGTTGCCGACGAGGGCTGACAGAAGTAGCATTCTCCAGCTGGGGAAGTGCCTTCACAGTTTATAAGGGGCCTCAATGATTAGAATAGGGTTTTGGGGTATACTATACCACAATTTTAAAAGGAGCCCAAAAATAGTATTGGTCATCAATTAATTAGGCCCGTAAAAAGGTGGCGAGACGGCTCAGACAGCAAGCAGGGTCCTCGGAATGGCTGAACGGCAGATCGAAGTCTTCATTGGCCTTCAGGGAGGTTTAGGGTTTAGGGTTTAGGGCTGTTTAAAACTTGCCCGCTTGCATCCCAAAGCAAGCCCAGGACATGTAAGTTTTTTCCGTCGTCGCATGCTCCTTTCCCGGTAGGCAGGAATCTACCCGCTGAGGTCACTAAGTTGAAGCTCAACACCGGACGACATGACCGAGCCCTGTAGCCGAAAATATTAGCCCCGACAGAGTCTGTCACAAGGGCTATGCAGGACGCCGTATACAGCACACGCGCCAATCCATGGATTTCAGGTGAGACTTGCTTTGCCACTTAAACAACGAAATAAGCTATCTTTGGAGGGAAATGGGGGCTCTGGCTACGAGGTTTATTCGCCTGCATTACTGTCATTACGACCGCAGTAACCGTCTTCCTCACAGCGCCCTATTATAACTCAAGTTTCAGATACCACAAAACTCTGACCATCTTCTATACTCCCATTCTCACAGTCTCGCTCCTGGACCTCACCGTTCACGGAGTGCTGCGTGGTCCTTGTCTGCAGCTTGGGGCCGGGGGGCGGGGAGGGAGGGGCGCAGGAATAGGGCTTGTACTTCGGGGTTTGAAGGGGGCCACGATGGTTGTTTCGTAGTTTTGGGTTTTTTTTGCCTCGCGCATGGCTAGGACAAGACCCGCATGGCTATAAGGGCGTGGGGTCTTTACAAGAACTTGACATTGAGCTATGTTCCTTTGTACCACCAACCCGATCAAGTTGTCAAGGGCCCCCAAACCCGACACCTCTCAAACCGAGAATATAGCCAAAGTCTGGTTGAAAAAGACACAGCAGGGTCCGAAGGACATGCTGGTGGTCCTCTATCGGCTGTTGAGTTCGAGGCTTCAGAATCAATTTGGGGCTTCCATACCAGGGTTGTTGGGGTTTTTCGCTGCAAACATTCTGCACTCTGGATCTCTTTTTGGCCTCGATTCCTACAAACTACCACATGGCAAGAAACAAGGATCGGAACAACAATGCAAAAAAACAAGAAACAAGACGAAAGGCAACAGCATGTGGTAATACGTAAGGCAGTCATCATGCGTAGGGCCATGGCTTGGCCGCTGAGGCCCCAGCCCAAAAGAATCAAACCTGCTAGTGTTTAGGGTAAAGTAACATTCGCCAAGAAAACAGGTTGAAGGTTCGCGGATGGCTAATACGGCCAACGACAATGACCGACAAGGAGTCCTATCCGGAGAAGCACTATGAATGATTTGGCAAGCCAATCTACCTACACATACGTAAGAACATACGTACAGACAGAAATACATACATTCATGCATACAAACATGCATAATCATACGTGCATACATACTTAGCTCTTATTTACTTGCAGACTTATGCGCACTCCGGCAGGCAGACATGCCTTCATACCGCATGCTTACATACTTGTATCGCACCAAACACTCAGCACGATGGCGTACAACAGCTCGAGGTGCGCATTTTCCATTTCCGGATTCGGCTTTGTAGCTTCAACGAGGGCCAGATCAGTCCCATGACTGTACTCCCGGCCCAAGTAGCCGGTACAGCACCATGCAGGGGGTCGATCCAAACGATGGTGCCCCTGAGGATCATCCTCGAAGAAGCCACGCTTCGAATAAGCACCTTACAGGGTGTGAAACATATGCCAAAACTACGGACCGCTTCAGAGCCGCTTCGTTGCCATTCCCAATCTCATCACCTGCAGCTGTTGCAGGTCACGATCCGCAAAAACTCGAAATCTTGAACTGGTTTAGGGTTTAGGGTTCACATAAGACGAACAAGGGGCCTTCAGCGGCTTCACACGTCAACAACCGCAAGCAGAGCCGTCGTGTCTGCATATAGAAATATAGACAGTCTGTATGCTTGTCTGTATATATGTATATATGTATGTATGTATGCATGCATGCATGCATGCATGCATGCATGCATGCATGCATGTGTACATAGATACACATAACTCACTCACGGACTCAGTCATACTCATATATATACATACATATATATATATATACCTGCTACCTGCCTCGCCGCTTTATTATTAGCCGTCCAGGGAAGACCGGGTTTTGCAGGGTCATACACACCGAGATAGTTGCATGTGTACGTATATATGTATGTTGTTAGACATGTATACATATGTATATAAATATGTGTTATATATGTGTATATATATATATGTACACACATATATGTGGGTACGCAGGTGCGTGTGTGTGCACATGGTTTGTCTATATATATATATATATATGTCTATATATATGTAGAACCTGAGAGGCAAAGATAACAAGCTCACAGGGAACATGCTGATAGGCTCGTCACCGTTTCTTGAAGACGTAATAGCCGACCATCCACTCGCGCCCATCGCGGAATCCAAAGGCTTCTGAGCACATGAGGTAAAACATGCGCCACTCCTGCTGTCACGTCTGCGTTCCGTCATAGTGCTCTTTGTGATCTCTACGATTATGGGGATTTAGGGCTAGTAGTTAGGACCTCTTCTGAAGTCTTCGGGATTCATTTCGGGCTTAGATATCAATGGCCAGGACAGTGGGGCTTCTGCCCTATCTAGGCACTGAAAGAGAAAGATGGGCTGTCTCAACCCGGCACAACCAGATGCACTGTTGCTGTGCATTTCTTGCAACTGATGAAAAAAAACGGTCCTGAAACCGCGTTCGCCCGACTGCTAGCGATTGCCCATCAGCAAGGATTTTCTCACACTCCTCGCGTTTGGCGTACATGAGCTGCAGCCATGCATCGAGGGTGCGGGAGTATTCTGTCCCTGTTACCTTGGCTGCCCCTTGATCCATCTAAATATCTAAACTCGATCAAGGGTCTCAAGAAGTCCTGGTCGACTGGAAAGACTTGAGCGCTCCATCCCAAAATCAGATTTGACAAAAACCTTCTCGGGACAGAATAAGAGTCTACTTCGGTCCGTTCCACGCAGAGGTCGTCGGTGAAGTGGTGAAAGAACGTCATCGAAGGGATCCTTACTTACCATATCTACTGAGGCCTTAATTACAGGGGTCCCTGTATAGGTACCTTTTGAATTAAGGCCTCGAAGTATACATGTACTGTATGGGCAGGATCCTTACAAACCGTAGAATGTAGTAAGTTTTTGTTGGATAACCTGCTGGATGGTTAGGATCTTTTTATACGACAACTAATGCAGCTAACAAAAAGGTGGTACGTTGTAGGGTCTAGGCAGTATCCGCGGAAGCACAGACTTAAACTTTCAGCACCATACGAAACCTACATGCCACGGCAGTACATACACAGCCCAACCTTCGAAAAGGCTGGGCAGGCTTTACACCAAGGATCGTAAAACGATGAACCCTAAGAACCCCGGGGTCGACGAGACCAAAAGCTTGCTTAGGGTTTAGGGTTTAGGGTTTAGGGAAAAGGTTGAGCATTTGCTGTACGAGGGGTCGTGCCCCCGGTAAAGAATCGCCGGCCCATCCAAGATTTGGCGTTCATCAGGTAAGAGTACCTTTCTCATTGCGCGTGTGTCTCTTGGCTTTTCACCAAAGGGAAGCGCCCTTTTGACCGGGCTTCAATTCTCGTCGCATTTGAAGGTTACGTACGGCTTATAGTGTTCGGAAGACTCATTTGAAGTTTCGGAGCTTGGGGTTGGGGTTTTGGTTTGGGGTGCCTGTGTCAGGGCTGTAGGGGTTTTGGCATTGGTTTCCGTTTGGCGGATTACAGGGGAGAGCTTCGGAGATGTGTGGCATGTCTCATCTGTGCAGAAGGCCCAGGTACTCCCTGTGGCCGAGGATTTGCACAAAGAAGCGGCCATCGGGCGCCAGGACCTTTGCAATGCGGGCAAAGAGGGCCTGGTAGTTGCGCGAGTGCTCCAGGCTCTCACAGGCGAAAATACGGTCGTAGAGAGGGAGCCCACCCCGCTCCTCCAAAGCTGATGCTGACAGCGCATTAATGTCCATCTTTAGCGCTGTGAGGTTCGTCAGGCCGCGGCGACTGGCCTCACCAGTGATGTGGGCGATCTGTGTGCTAGAGTTCGAGAAGCACACGAACGTGGTCTTCGGAAACCGCTCAGCCGCATAGACGCTGAAACTTCCCCAGCCACAGCCGATGTCGAGCACACGTTGACCATCAGCCACGCCCAGCAACTCGGCATACTTGGCAAGCGTGTGAGTCTCGGCCTCTGCCAGTGTTGCATCAGGGCCAGGCCACTCGCAGCTTGAGTACTTGAGGCGTGGGCCGAGGGAGCTAAGGAAAAAGGGAGTGGGCACCTCGTAATGCTGTTCGTTCGCTGCCGCCGTATCGAAGGCGATGTCCTCAGAGGCCAACTGCTTCACCCTCGAGACAAGGCGAAGCTCTTTCCTTACTTGCTGAGCAACTCATACATTACAAGCTGTTCTGCTTCTTCCGGTTACTGTATAACAACTAGTAATGTAATTACTACTGCTGAGACTATATTACGGTTATTACAAATAATATAAACTCGATTGTTATGTGTATGATCATCGTTATTGAATTACTAACCCGGGACACCAACATCCCGAAAGCTCTGCACCTCTACCACCACCTGTATGCCCAAACCCTACACCATAGCACTTCATGGCCCCATGGTTTGCTCATGGTGTTTAATAGGCGAGTGGACCCCAAGGTAGAGAGTGCTCAGCATCAAAGTTGCTGTGGCCAGCGCAGCTTCCAGAGCTGCCTCAGCGCACGGCCAAGGACGATGCGCACCAGAAAACGCACCAGCCAGTCCGGCAAGAGCGGCTGCAAGTAGCTGACGAAAATCTCCAAGGTATCCTCCATACCCATCTTTCACGGCTGGCCTAGGCCTCTTGGCAAAACTTCGAGTAGAAGGGCTTAAAGAGTCCTTGTGCTCCGACCCGGAAAAGAGCCGAAACCTTCGAAGAAAGAGGTTTAGGGTTTAGGGTCCGAGATGTCACAGCTCACTCGCGGCGGCAGGAAAGCTTAGTACAAAGAAAGCTACGATGCGTGTCTGGGTTGTAGCTGAAGGGCCCCCACAGGACTTTGTGAACATGAACCTGTAACTGGAAAGGACCACAAGGAAATTGCAACTTTATGCCACAAGGTCGTGGCAGTTGGTCTGCAAGGAACGGCCAGTAAGTCGGAGAACTTTCCAGGAAAGCTACGACCCAATTCGCACAATGTGCGAGAATTGACTACCTTGTCCCGAGATTCTGGGATTAAAAAAACCCTAAACATAAACCCTTTTCCTTGACTCCTGCCAAGGCTCCCGTGAGAAAGGTGCTCCCGGAATACCTTCTTGTTCTCGCCGGCATCCTCACAGTGAATGTACAAGGCTTGGGATTAGGCTTTAGGCTTGGATTACCTCGCAGGGTTTAGAGATTAGGAACCTTGCAACAGAGGTTTGAAGATTCTGGCTTTAGGAATTCTAGTGAATGATATGGGTAGTAAAGGCTTGGCCCAATGCATAATCCACAGCTTCCTTCTGCCGCAGCTATTGTAATGCTTGCTTGTAATGCTTGT